AGTCTACCTGGTAAGGCTGACAATCCAAAACAACTTAATAGTTCCAAAGGATTTCTTTTTAAAAAGCTCCACAAAACAAAAACTCCCACAGAAGTCCCAGCCCCACTCATTCTCATGTCACTTTGTCACCACCCTGCCTGCTGTGGCCCAGCTGCTCCTAAATCCCCCACTTTCATGGTCTAAATTAGGATATGACATTTCACATGACCCTTAAGGGTTGAATCTTCAACAGAGGTTCAAAGACATATAGGACCCAGAAATATCAGGGGATAGATGCCTGTACACTCTCATCCCCCAACTCTCCTTTCCCAGCACCGAGGACTGGTGCTTGTCCACAAGAGAATCCTTCTGTTCCTGGAGACCCTCAGATCCCGAGTCCATTTCTTCTGCCCACAGCCCCATGTGTAGCACCCCCTCACCTTGGCACACGCCAGGGTCACGAATGTCCTTGGTGGGATCCTTATAGTAGAATGGTTTGCAGATCTGGCAGTGATGGCCCATGGTGTTGTGCTGGCATTCATCACAGACACCACCACTGGAGTTGCCCGTGGCCAGGTACACAGCCATGTCAAAGTGGCACCGGTGGGAGTGTTCATTGCAGTTGCACTCTGAGGAAAGCAAGAGGGCAAAAGCACTTCAGACGCCATCAGCCGATAGCACTTCCCAGCCTCCAAACATATCAGAAACAGCACCCACGAGAGCACAAAGATACCTCCCCTCTATTGTTACCTGGCTAGAAGGTAGAGGCTACCCCTTAACCTTCCTTGCTTCCTTGTGGTGATGAAGAAGCTGACCCCAGCCAGCAGTCTATGCACACAAGAGTGAATAGATGCTAAAATCTGTCCCAAACACCTGAGATATCCCATCTCTGGACACTTTCACATATAAGAATTTCCTGCACATAATTTGTTTCCTTGCATACGTGTGTCAAAAATCCTGTAGGATCTGCTTTACCAGGGCCCTGTGGAAGCTGCTACCACATAAGAATTCATCCAATGTTCGTACTTAAGTCTTTCTGTGCGTATAAAACACTATGTTGAATAATTGACAAGTTGCTTCTGTTCTGCTGCCCCCTCATTAATATGTGCTCATTTCAAAGCCCATAGGGAAGAAACCTGTGGTCTTCCAGATGCTGCTAAACTTTGACTCCCAGCATTCCTCACTATAGGCCATGCTCACAGTGTTTGCTGGGAGTGACT